AATTGTATATGTTGCTTAAATCATATAAGCAAGAAGTTTAATCTTCTATATGATACGTTACAGCAGGCTTTTCTATGGAAGCTGAATGTTCTTATCTCAAACGAAAACAAGAACGCAATAAGAAAATCCAGAAGTACAAGGTAAGATATTCTTCTTTATGTTTGAACACGAGTTTTGGCTCTAGTGACAGTAAAGAATGTTGTTCATGTCGCTAACTTTACACGTTACAATTATATGTATAAAGCTTTCACTAGTAATCCTATTATTCTTTTGTAGGACATGTTGAAAACTAGAGCTGCTCTTCCAATATCTGACGCAGTGGGATGCACTAAGACAACAAGCGTTGGTCTTAGAATCGAAGATTCAAGTTTGCAAGCGACAAACTTGAAGAAAAGGTTCTGGAATCGATAAAGCTCAAAAACTCGAAGACTTTGATTAATAATAATAGTAAAAAGTTGTGTCTAAAACATATCTCCTAAAGTTCTTTATATAGAGAAAGCTTAAAGCATAAAATAGGTAATTCCTAGAAATAAGGAAAGTTACTAGGATCCTAATTAGAAAAGGAAATATCTAGAAGGATCTGTAATCTAGAATGGATTAGGTCTCGGAACCATCTCCTGCATCAGTCTCCTCCACCTCCAAAGAACTCGACCCCGAGTTCTCATTTGGATAAAGAACACCATCCGCATGATACTCATAAATGTCAGCTATATTAAACGTCCGAGAGATGTTCATGTCGTCTGGAAGATCCACCACATAAGCATTGTCATTTAGCTTCTTCAAAACCGTGAATAGACCATACTTGCGAGGCTGAAGCTTGCCATATGTACCCACTGGAAACCTTTTTTTCCGTAGAAACACCATCACCTCATCTCCTTCTTTGAAAACCTTTAGTCTTCTCCGCTTGTCTGCTGCTCGTTTATTCTTTAGTTCGGTTGCTTCCAATTTAGCGCGAACCACTTCTTTAGTTGCCACAACGTCTGTGCTAACTCCGAGAGCTTTAGGTAACGGAACCAAGTCGACAACATGCTTCGGAACAGAGGTGTATACCAAAGAGAATGGTGACTTCCCTGTGGCTGAATGCACGGCACTGTTGTAGACGAATTCGACCTGTGGTAACGCCAAATCCCACTGCTTCGGTTTATCTCCACAAACACTTCTGATCATATTCCCCAATGTCCTGTTTGTTACCTCCGTTTGTCCATCACTCTGCGGATGAGCCGTAGAGCTTCGTTTCAAACTTGTTCCAAACAACCTCCATAATGTGATCCAAAAATGACTGAGAAACTTGGTATCTCTGTCTGAAACTATCGATGTAGGAACCCCATGGAGACGTACAACTTCACGAAAGAACAACTTGGCAATGTTGGTTGCATCTGCGGTCTTCCTACAAGCAATGAAGTGCGTCATTTTAGAGAACCTATCAACAACAACAAACACAGAATCCACTCTTCGTTGTGTCATTGGCAATCCCAACACGAAATCCATGGACAAATCGTCCCAAATGTCATTAGGAACAGGTAATGGCATGTAAAGACCTGTATTCTGAGATTGACCCTTGGAAACTTGGCAGATATAACACCTTCGTACAATTGCTCCAGCGTCTTTCCTAAGATGCGGCCAATAGTACCTTTCTTCCAAGTTTGCTATTGTCTTATCTTGCCCTAAGTGACCACTAAGACCCCCTCCATGCAACTCACGAATCAACTTCTCCCGTAAAGAAGAGCAGGGAATGCATAACTTATTTCCTTTAAAGAGGTAACCTTCTCGGATATGAAAATCCGCCGAAGGGTGCTGCTGACTGCACTTGATCCTTAGCTCTTGGAACTCGGCATCTTGTTCGTACAACTCTTTCAAAAACTCGAAACCCACAACCTCCTGCGCTAAAGTAGTGAGTAATGAAGCCCTTCTACTTAAGGCATCGGCAACCCGATTAAGCGTTCCTGATTTGTGCTGGATGATAAAAGGGAACTTCTGTAAGTAGCTAACCCAACGAGCATGCATCTTATTGACCATCTTCTGGCTGTGAAGGAACTTGAGAGCTTGATGGTCTGTGAAAAGAATAAACTCGCGTTGAACCAGATAGTGCTCCCATTGTCTTAAAGCTCGAAACACAGCATAGAACTCCTGATCATAAGTACTCCACTTTTGACGTGCTTCACTCAATTTTTCACTAAAGAAAGCAACAGGACGCTTCTCTTGTGACAATACAGCTCCAATTCCCACGCCACTTGCATCACACTCCACCTGAAACACCTTATCAAAATCCAGCAAAGCTAAAACTGGAGCAGTACAAAGCTTCTCCTTGATGGAAGCGAAGCTCTCGTCTTGTTCCGGACCCCAATGAAACTTCCCTTTCTTCAAACATTCAGTGATAGGCGCCGTAATAGTACTGAAGTCTCGTACAAATCTTCTGTAGAAAGTCGCAAGACCATGAAAACTGCGTACCTCAGATACGGATTTATGCACGGGCCAATCTTTGATTGCACTTATTTTGGCTTCGTCCACTTGAATTCCATCTTCACCAACGACAAACCCCAAAAATAGGAGCTTGTTTGTGCAAAACGTACACTTCTTTAAGTTCACGTACAGCTGGTTTTCTTGTAAGACCAGCAAAACCCGTTTGAGATGCTCCAAGTGATCGCCTTTGGTTTTGCTGTAGATCAAGATATCGTCGAAGTAAACCACCACAAAAGACCCAATGAAAGGACGGAGAATTTGATTCATTAGTCTCATGAAAGTACTAGGAGCGTTTGACAACCCTAAAGGCATCACCAACCAATCGTATAATCTGTCTTTGCTCTTAAAAGCAGTCTTCCATTCATCTCCAGGCCTGATTCGAATCTGATGGTACCCACTTCGAAGATCTATTTTTGAAAACACCTTCGATCCATTCAACTCATCAAGCATGTCTTCCAACCGAGGGATAGGAAACCGGTACTTGATTGTGATCTTGTTGATGGCTCTAGAATCAACACACATTCGCCACTGATTACCCTTCTTTGGAACGAGAAGAACCGGTACAGCACAAGGACTCATGCTCTCGCGGATTAGTCCTTTCTTCAGCAAATCTTCAATTTGTTCTCTTACAATTTCATTCTCTTTAAGGCTCAATTGATAATAGGGAAGATTATGTAGACTAGAACCTGGAATCAAGTCTATGTGATGTTGAATATCACGCATAGGAGGTAGGTCGTTAGGTAGTTCCTCCGCAACTAACTCCTTGAAGTCTTCCAAAAATCTTAAAACCTCACGTGGAGCAGTTGTCTCCTCCGTCACGGCACTCATCAACCCTTTGACCATAATCGGATAAAAACACTTTGATTCCTGAACAGCCTTGTCAAGTTCCTTGTCATCATGCGTCACGACTAGGAAGCTGGACTTCTTTTCCTTTGCAATGCTACCAAAATTTTTAACAGGAGCCATTGCAATCTTATGAGTTTCCCACGTAAACATGATCACGTTGTCACGTCCTCGGTATGTTATGTCGTTATCATACTGCCATGGCCGCCCAAGGAGAATATGACAAACATCCATGTCCAGAACATCACAGAGTATCTCCTCTTTGTAGTGCTTCCAAATTGATAAAGGAATTTTGCAAGTTTCACTAACCCCTACCTTAGACCCTTTCTTCACCCATCCGAGACCGTAAGGTTTTTCATGACGAGTCGTAGGTAGTTTCAAATATTCCACCAGCTTTTGAGAAACTAAATTCTCGGAGCTCCCATTGTCAACAATCACATTGCACACCTTGTTCTGAATAGAACAATGCATTCTAAACAGATTCTTGTGTTGTCCCTCTTCCTTGGATGATAGCAAGAGTCGCTGTAAAACGATGCTGATTCTGTCCTCAGATTCCTCTTCCACAAATTCAACTCCCTCATACTCCTCATTCTCCATGAAGTCGTCTCCCTCTTCTTCTAGGAATGCAACCGTCTTTCTACTGGGACAGACATTCGACTTGTGACCTGTTCCTTGACAACGGAAACACTTGTCGAGGGTTGGCCTAGCATAAGAAGTGTTTTGTTTCGGAACTGGTGCTTTGTCCTTTTGAACGCCACTATTGGAACTACTAGCTCCTTTGTTGCTAGAGTTGGAATCTCTGTTAACCATGCCTTTGTCTTTCTCTCCGGCTGGTTCGAAGTTGTTCTGAACCGAGGGTCTCCTGAAATTTGTGAACCCCCGAGTTGACTTCTCCATCAATTCCGCTTTCAAGGCGAGACTGGAGGCTTCTTGAACCGTCCACACAGTCTGTAACCCTATTTTTCCTTGAAGAGAGCCCTTTAAACCACTGATGTATCTGGCTACCTTCTGATTCTCTGTTTCGTTTAAGTCACTACGTTAAGAACTCAGCTGTGTAATCAGTCACGGTCCTGCTTCCCTGTACACAATCAATATACATCTTGTAGAGAATTGCTCGTAGTCTTCTGGTAAGAACCGCTCAGTCATTAGCTACTTCATTCGTCGCCATGTTCTAACGGGATCCTTTCTTTGCCTTTGCCTTTGGATAGCCAATTTATCCCACCAAACAGCAGCAGTCTTCCTTAACCTGATTGCCACCATCTTAACCTGTTTTCTCTCCGGGACTTCCATAACATCGAAGAACCGATCAACATCAATTTGCCAATCGAGAAATTCCTCTACTCCCATAGTCCCATAGAACAATGGAATATCAGCTTTCACTCGGTAATCCTGATTGTTTTGATTCCCTTGTTCTTCCACTTCTCCTTCCGACTCCTCCTCCGAGCTGGAATGTTAACAACAACACGATTGTGCCTGCCTTGTTGTCTATTGTTTCCACCAGGTGGATGATTGTCGTCACCTTGCTGGTTCCGAGCCGGTTCTTCAGCAACCGGGATGTTTCCGCCTTGTTGATTAGGGTTTGGTCCCATTCTTACTCCTCCTCCTTGTCCCGCGTTAGCAATCTGATTTGTTAATGCTGCAATCTGATTAGTTAACGCTGCCACCAGATTTGCCAGGTTCGTGGTTGATTCGTTCAGACCTGCTGCGAAACCCTCCATGTCGGCCCTGGTTACTGGTTGATCATCCATAGCTGTTCAAGCTTCGAAAAGAGAATGAGATTGCCTGCTCTGATACCACTTGACGCAGTGGGATGCACTAAGACAACAAGCGTTGGTCTTAGAATTGAAGATTCAAGTTCGCAAGCGACAAACTTGAAGAAAAGGCTTTGGAATCCACCAGAAAAGGTAAAGCTCGAAAACTCGAAGACTTTGATTAATAATAATAGTAAAAAGTTGTGTCTAAAACATATCTCCTAAGGTTCTTTATATAGAGAAAGCCTAAAGCATAAAATAGGTAATTCCTAGAAATAAGGAAAGTTACTAGGATCCTAATTAGAAAATGAAATATCTAGAAGGATCTGTAATCTCGAATGGATTAGGTCTCGGAATCATCTCCTGCATCAATATCAGAAGTGAAGAATGACATATTGCACCATCTGAAAGAAAAAGATGTTTTAGTAGTATGTGGAGAAACAGGCTCTGGAAAGACTACACAGGTTTGGTCTCGTCTGTAGTGTAGTGTTTATCTTCCAGATATATGCACTGAGTCATTTCTAACTGATACACCATTCCAGGTTCCTCAATTTATATTGGATGATATGATCGATTCGGGGCATGGTGGATACTGTAATATCATATGCACACAACCTCGGCGGATAGCAGTGAGTATTTCTGTGTTAAAATGTCATGCTTTCAGGGATTCCTGGTTTTATTCGTACTGGCATGAACAATGACCCTCTTATTCGCATTGATCCTTTTATTTTTGCAAAGATTTAATGATGTCAATTAGCAAGATTTCATGTCCGTAGTTTGCCATTACTAAATGGATTTTAGTGATCTGCATAATAACTTGTGGTTAAAGAAAATATGTTCTATGCACAACTTTTTCTTCTTACTACCTTCAGATTGACAAGAGTTTAATGATTGGAAATGTAATGTTTATCCTGAATTCGTTTTTGTTGAAAGATCGATCTGATTCATCTTTTAAATCATCTCTTATGTTCAGGTTATCATAGCTACAAATATTGCAGAGACGAGTATAACAATTGATGATGTGGTGTATGTGATTGATAGTGGCAAACACAAGGAAGATCGCTATAATCCACAGAAGGTATTTCAAATGCTAGTGGAATCAGTTAAAATATGCCTTGTATGATGATATTTGTACTAATATCTGAATAGAACACTCTGCATATTTTTCATAAGAATAATCTGTATCTTCTCTAAATTACTTTGATATAAAAACGCTATTGATGTCATCTTTTGGTGCTCAATTATCCTATCATCTCACAGAAATTGTCAAGCATGGTGGAAGATTGGATATCTAAAGCAAACGCAAGACAAAGAGCGGGAAGAGCTGGACGTGTCAGACCTGGACATTGCTTTTCCTTGTACACACGGCATAGGTTCGAGAAGCGTATGCGTCCCTATCAGGTTTCTTTCTCTTAAGTTGCTCCTTCTCTTGTTTTTCTATATCTTGGTTCTCACTGGTTCCATCTTGATGGTTAGGTTCCTGAGATGCTGAGAGTGCCTTTAGTAGGGTTGTGTTTACAAATCAAATTGCTTGGATTGGGTCACATAAAGCCTTTTCTCTCCAAGGCAAGTTACACCAACTTTCATTGTCAAAAGGACTAACATTATCATTCGTCTTACTCTTTTTTCACTTACTGTCTTTAGGCTTTGGAAGCTCCGAGTGAAAGTGCTATTCACTCTGCAATCTCATGGTTGCGCAAGGTACCACTTAATTGTATTGGACTTAAGTCTTTGTTTTGTAAGAATTATTAGTTCCTGATACATCCGAAAGTTGTGATACCTTTCAAGGAGACACTTAAAACCTCCCCATACTCTTATGTTTTCTCAATCATTGATTGTGATATTAGTTCAGTAAACCAATTTGTGTGCTGAGCCTTCTTTTATAAACACTGTCTTCTTTAGGTCGGTGCTGTTGAAGGGGACGAAGAGTTAACACCGCTTGGGCATCATTTAGCAAAACTTCCTGTTGATGTGTTGATTGGAAAGGTTTACATAAGTAACTTTCACTGTTACACTAAAAGATGCCTCAGTCACTGCCTCATATCATCACTGAACGTTTTTTTTTTAAATTGCAGACGTTGTTATATGGTGCCATTTTTGGTTGCTTGTCACCTATTCTCTCCATTGCGGCTTTCTTGAGCGAAAAATCGCCATTTGTTTATCCCAAAGATGAGGTACATTTTTTTTACTTACAAGGAACTTGGATGAGGTTCTCATTTGATTCTATGTTTGCTCTTCTTTTCTTAGAAGCAGAATGTTGATCGGGTGAAACTTGCTCTTTTGTCTGATAAGCTGGAGAGTTCGAGTAATATAAACAACAATGACAAGCAATCTGATCACCTCCTGATGATTGTTGCATACGAAAAATGGGTGAAGATACTGCATAAGGTATGTGATAAAAGGGTTTCTCTAGCTGCCGCTTGATGTTTTATCTCTTTGGATGTACTTTCTCTTAGTGGCAAAAACTGAACCAATCCATGCTTAAAGAAACCGAAACCTCTTGTTGCATCTAATTCGTTAAGAGATATATGATTAAGTTAAGGTTTTTGGTTGAATTGTAAATCAAGAATGAGGTTTACAGATGAGTGGAAGGATTTGTTGATGTAGCATGACAGTGTCCAGGAGGAGGATGTCACACTGTTCTCTATAAATGAACCCTTAAATCATAGGCTTGGATCTTCTGCAAAATGATGTGCTTTTATGTGTTTGTGATGTCTTCAGCAAGGAAATCAAGCTGCAGAGAGGTTCTGTGATTCAAATTTTTTGAGCAGCTCAGTGATGCAGATGATAAGGTACATTGTACTTCGATGCTATAACTTGTCTACAAAAGATTTCCATAAAAAGCATGGAAAAGATGTAAAATGACTACTTTGTTTTGGTTTATTCATCCTTCAAGTCTTATTTGTTGCTTTTCTCACAAATATCAGTGACGTGAGAATACAGCTTGGCACTTTACTTGCTGACATCGGGCTCATCAATCTTCCTAAAAGTAACGAGGTAACTTATCTTACAACATCTGAACTATCAATGGCATACGCTGAAAATCAAAGATTTGTCTGATCTTTACATGGAAGAGTCAGAAGACACATAACATACACCAAAACATTGTTATGCTTGTTGACAAGTTTTAGATACATCACTATCAAGTTTGTTCCATCATGTTAATATGCTTGGGCAAAAAGATAACCCATGTTTGTTTAAGATACCTGATCTCGTAATAATTTCTTTTTTCTCATCAAAGTATGCGGGAAGAAGAAATGAGAATCTTGATGTTTGGTTTTCTGACAAAACTCAACCTTTCAATATGTATTCACAAGAACCTGAAGTTGTTAAGGTAAAGTACATCTAATACTCTAAAACTCAACCTTTTCTTTTGTTGTTGTTGTTTGCAATAGAGGTTCAATCCCATTATCTTAAAAGAAATATTGGGAAAACGAAATTGATTTAGTGATTGTATTGTGCAAAAAAAAATGATAACTTGTTTCCATTCTCGTCAGTACATGAGTTCAGTTTCCAATTTGTACAGGCTATATTATGCGCGGGGCTATGTCCTAATATCGCAGAGGGAATGGTCAATCGTTTAACGAAGCCAGAACAGCAAACACAGCGTTACGCAGTGTGGCATGATGGAAGAAGAGAAGTTCATATCCATCCAAACTCTATAAACAAAAGCTGCAAAGCGTTTCAATACTCTTTTCTTGTATTCCTCGTGAAGGTAAACTTTTTTGAAGCAGTTGCTTTTACTTTGAATATTTTCAGATTTAGCTTCATAATGGGTAATTATGGTGACTGGTTTCAATTTAATTGTTCAAATGCAGATTATGGTGTAATAAATCTGATTACAGATAATATTATCGACTTTCTTGTTTCTTGTAGGTCGAATCAAGGAAAGTAGTATCTTTGCGAGATACAACCATTGTTTCTCCTCTCTCCATTCTTCTTTTTGGTGGCTCAGTCGATGTTCATCATCAGGTACTGTTAATCAAACATATTTTTTGATAACGATTTTAGTGATGATACTCTGTTTATAGCTTTTGGTTTGTTCTACGTGCTCTTTACCTTAAGACCTTATCTTGCATTACAGAGTGGGTCAGTCACCATTGATGGGTGGTTGAAGCTAGCAGCACCAGCTTAAACCGTAGTTTTGTTCAAGGAGCTTCGGTTAACACTCCATTCCATTCTCAAAGATCTCATCCGGAAACCCGAGGTTACATGTTTTAGTCCTTCGCTTGATCGATCCACTCGGTGAAGTAAGTAGCTGCTCAGGACTAATCTCTTTTTTCACGTTTGTTTTGTGTTTTTCAGAAATCAGGTATTGTCCACAACGAAGTCGTTAAATCTATGGTCCATCTTCTCATAGAAGAAGGCAAGCCGCAACCCAAAACTGCTCTAGGAAATGAAGACTGAACCGTGAGAAGTTTTGTTGTGTAAGTAGACGCAGTATGCAAGGTGAGTGTGTAAGTGGACGTAATTTCGATAGTTATGTGACTTCCCTAACTTAATAACTAATTTAGAGCTCAACTAATCTATTTAAGTATCGTTTTAGGATTTTGTTGTTGGTTTTCCAAAAGAAATGTTAGCTTTTCACATTTTAAATGCAAAATTCATTAACGAAATCTTGTTTTACAAACATTATTACACTCATAATTTTCGAATTTTCTTACAAAGAGAAGAAACCGAGATTATTTTTGAAACCGCTCTGCAGAAGTGAATAATATATGTATAATAAGGGGAAAAAAAACAAATATTTTCGGTTTCGTGTATAACAATAACAAAGCTAGGGCTTTGAGGGCGGAGGCGGCGTAGACTTAGTGGCATTATTGCTGTTTTTCTTCACTTGGAGAACGGAAGCGACCGTCCCGATCAAAGTCAACACCACGATGACGACGGCGCCAACGGTGGCAGTTCCGCTCCAAAGGTCTTTGAAGTAGACCTGCCGGAGAGTACAGAGGGGGCTGCGGATACGGTATTCATAATATCCTATTCTTTTATATTTGTTGCGGTAATTTCTGTTGAGGCTTTCGGCTATATAGTAATACTGAGAGCCAAAATCAACAATCTATAAACACAGTTTTTTTACCATTTCCGTCGCCATCGCCACATCTTGACGTATCGACCAATTTCTTATAACTCCTAGGAGTTAAAGTTTGAAATTCGTTAGGAATGGGGGAAAAAATGAAAGAAGAAAAAGTATAGGAACTTGTAGTATCATAATCAATTTGGCAATAAATGGATTAGTTCATGTTCTTAATATAATACTTGAAATTATTTTCAACTACCGATGTGAAATAATGCAGTTACAACTGTAGATTTAATAAAGTGTTTTACCTTTCTTGATGAGCAAGTCAGTGTCTTGCTCGGTTTCATTGAGGAAGTCCAACAAAACAATGTAGTTACAAACAAAGGCTGAGGACGGGTAATGACATAGCTCGAGTGCCATTAAGTTCCTAATAACTCTTTCGTTGTTGTCTTCAACTATCAAACAAGGCATTCTCAAGATTCCGGCTTCAAACTTAATCACCAAAGATAAATCATCCATATTAGGAGCAAAATCTACTCCTGCACTCTCTAGTTGGCTTGCACTGTATAGACTCCGTATGCTCTTCGTTGGCTCAGCTTTTGCTCTACTAATATCTTCTTTAGACAGACCAAGTGTTTCGACACGTACACGTCGTAACAAATCTGTAAAATGTCGGAATTTCACTTCTTTTTTTATCTTTCCTTCGAACCGAAAAACGCGAAGGGTAATGTCACGGAACGTTTCCTTAATTTGAAGTTGGATGACAAAAGGTTCGAAGAGTTTCTCTAAAAGAGCAAAAGGAAGTTGGTTCTCGAGCAACATTAGGTCTTGTAAAATCGTGGTTATGAGATAAGGCTCCTCGAAAAGAATATCTTCTCTCCCGATAATTTTTCCAGTGCCGGTCTGAATGAAGAACCATAAGATGAATACCCAGTCGTAGAGGATCATTTCCTGAAACTCTTGGGATCTGATCCAATCTGTTGATTCAGCGTAGCTTTTTCTTATGAAAATCTCATCTATTTGGATGATTCTCCTGAACTCATCGATAGTTTCCCCATATATATTTGCAATACGAGTAAGGTATTTCTTCTTGTGACGCTCCATGTTCATATAATCCAAGTATCTAGAACAATCCAAACGCATTAGCTTAACTATATAAGTCAAACACATATAAGGGAGGCTAGTGAAGATAAATTATACGTGTTTTAAAAGACTGACGTGAGACTTTAGTTTTTACTAACAAAATAATATAAGATTAGGTGGTTGGCCCGCACATATGTGCGGATATAATTTTTTGATATATATAGTTAATTGTAATATTTAAATTTTGATTAGTTTTTTTAAATATTGGTATGTTAGTATATATATTGTTTTAATATTTCACAAACTTCTTTCTGAAATCAATGTATTTCAAAAAAATTTATATTTATAATGCTTGTAATAATATATAATCACAAATATAAAAGTTATGTTAAATAATAATTAAAAATTCTTATAATATTTTTTTAAATATTTCTATAATATGCTTTATTTCTCCTTACACAATCTACGATATGCTTTTTTGCGTCTTACATAATATGAATTTGCAAATATATATAATATATTTAAGTATATATTTTTCTTGATTTATTACAAATTAAACTGAAATAGTTTTACTATTTTTACTTATTTCTAAGAGCGGATAGATAATTGGCACGCATGTGCGAGTATACCAACCATTTCACTACACTTAGAATAGATAAAAAAATTTTAAAAATATAAATTGTATAATAATTAAAATAAAAATTAGACTGTAATCAATCTTAACAAAATACATGCACGGAAAAGTTCGTATGTGACTTCAACTAATGTACAATTAATATATATGTATGTACGCGTATTTGTAAAAAAATAAAATATGGCTCTTACGTCTTAAAAAGTTTTTAAGTGACTTTGTAAAACAAAGTGCGAGAGATTTATTTTTATATACTTTTATTTTTTATTTCATTTACTATCTCAAATTTTCCATATACAATGAAAATAAATATATATATATATGTATATGCTATTATTTTTATTTAAAATATGATAAGAGATAAGATGAGATGGTAACATAAGTTATGTATATTTTAGAAAACAACAGTAAAAAGATGATAAAAGTTATAGAAAAATATATGATCCTATTAATATTATAAAATAATAATTAGTATATACTTTATTCAATTAGTAAATATCGGTTTGAAAATAAAATTATTCAAAATTATGTTTTTTTAAAACCATTTCAATAAAGTTAATTATTTTATTATTTTAACATTTTATTCTTTAAATTATTTTTATCATGATTGTCTTTTATATAAAATTGTATTATTTAATAATTTTTTTATTTAGAACTTGTTTAGATGTTATTAATATATTTTGTAAATTAATAACTTTCTGATATAAAAATATATCATACTTCAAGTATTATTGATAAATATAATTTTTACTATTCTATTAGATCATTTAGTATTTTTTTTTTATGTGAAATTATAATATATATATATATATATATATTGTTAAAAAATTCATAATTATATTTTATGAAATTATGAATATATGTAAAATAATTATAATAACTTTTATTTTCTGTTAATTTAAATTTGTTAATTTTAGTGTTACAAATATAATCTAGTTTATTTATGTTTTAATTCTATAACTATAATTTTAATTCAACCAATCAAAATATTTTGTTTATTTTAGGAAGTTTGACATGTCACATTTACATGTCATCAATTAAAAGCACTAATTTTGGTTATAGTGTTGACAAGTAAACTATTTTCAATAATGTTACTTCTCAAATAATATGTAGTAGATGTTTAGCATAAGCGCGAGTGAAAACATCAAATCAAACACTAAACATATTTTTTTAACAATTGTGCATTTTCATATTATAAACTTAAAAAGATATTTGATACAACAAAACACCTATGATTAATTAGTTTTTTTTTTTGTTTTTTATAATCAAGGGTAATGCAATCTTTGACCACCGCTTTATCTCTCTAAGGTTAATGTAGCCGTTGAATAACTCACTCACTGGCTTTTCAATGAGTCTAAAACGTACACTATTTCAACTGACCAAATGAAAATGATTAGATAATTTCACAATTAAGAGAATCGTTTCCTGATCTACAATAACATGACAACTCATACTCAAATGAGAAACACTAGTCCACTACTACTTCATTACCTATGATCAATACGTTATGTACAATAATCTTGCATATAAATGTTAAATGTAAACATAAAACACAAAAAGCCTTTACCATGTTTAATGATAAGTGCACATATATATATATATGTAGTATGTACCTTAAATCGGTTTTGGAGAGCTCAGGGGCTTCAGCTTTCTTATAATGATGAAGTGGACCGATTAGAAGCATCTGAGGAGTATATGCCTCTGGCTTCACTCTCCGTAACGGGTTCGGTACTCTATAGATGCAACAATAGTCTTTGCTAAACGTAGAAGACCATAAACCGGGAATCGCAGGCTCAGAGAGAGAATCCGATTTAGTCGTGGTCGAAACCATAGCTTCCTGAGCTGCTCCCTGGATACCAGATCCGGTTTCATTCTCCTTGGTTACATCCAAGATCATCTCTGGTGGTTCGTTGTCACTAAAGCCGTTTTGCTTTATTCTTTGTTCTAGATCGATCAGCACTTGCTTCTCCTATAAGTAAACAGTCAATTTATGATTCAGGCGTGATGATAACTAAAATTTTAGAGTAAATCAATATTAAAGAAAAATTAACATAAATATACATATTTTCTCGAACCTTAGCCATTTATGCTGATAAGTGACAACAAAGTTATAGGCACCGTTGCTTTTATAAATTTATTTATTTGTGCATGGATTATACAATTCGAGGATAAGGGTTTATATAAAGATTACGAATTGACGTGAATGTGAAGCTATTTGATTCAAGCATTTTTATATTGCGTCTGACTTAGGGCAAATCATCTTAACTTTTTTTGTTTCTTTATTTGTTATTGTTTTTATTTATCCTTCGAGGTTCGAGCAAAGAATTATGCTGTCAGGCTTGACAGGAAAAAAGAAATCCAACGCGGAACACATGGACACCTCGCACATGTATTTCACGTTTTTCAACAATTACTGATCCATTATAATATTGGCTCATTGTATTTTAAGTTGTAGTCCTAAATTTCATATGCATCGAAGTAAGAATAGAGTAACAAAATTTCACAATCAGCCAACTAATCTTTTTCTAAAATGAATTAGTCGTCCAATAGTTCACTCATCAATTTTTTTAATAGATCTAAAATGTGATATCATTTTGACTAAATTTGATTAGATAATTTTATGGTGGAAAGAAATCGATCACTGTCTACGGTATACTAACAATCAATTTCTCATCAAGTGGGATTAAGACTATTTATAAAAGTTTTATTGTATAAATCATTTAACTTTTTTTTTACCATTAATTAATTACAATTCAGTTTTTAGCCTTTCAATATATACTAGGCTTTGGATATGTGTCATGTGCAAGATTTATGTTAAAAAAAATTATTGGGCCACTGAAACATAATGGTTTATGTGTTTAAAATTATTTGGACTATTTGTTATAATTTATTTTATACAAAAACAGTTTCAGCCTACTAAATAAACTTTTTGTTGTTTTAGACTTTAGTTTACCAACAAAAAATGTTGACAGACGACATGGCAGAGAAGAGAAAGTTCTGAGTTTGCATGTCGAAGAGGAAGAAGCTCTAATCAACAATTGGAGACTCCAATTAGTTGATAAGAAGAGTGAAGTGGTCGAGATCCATAGTTGGTACATCTCCAAAACCATCTCTGGGTTCGTATCTATGAAGCTTAAATTGTTGGCGATGGATGCGAGCATTCATTTCACACCATATAGAATAGATCGTAGGCCGAGTAGTGTTAGATGACTGTTCGACTGCTGAAGCTTGGACAGCCAAGAACCCCAGCTACAAAGAGTAAGAAGATGACAACAAATACCAATCGGCTCCCAAATCGACCAACTGAGAGGGCCATCGAAGATTAGGTGGTTCTGCTTTCAACGGGTTGATTCCAAAGCGGACATTCGGGAGAAGTATTAAGAGTTAAGACCCCAACTGCTAATTCTTGATTTGGTGGAGCATCTCCGCTGCAACAGTCGGATATTATCTTTGGATCCTTTCGCAGGTTCACCTATTACATATATTTTGAGTATTTAGTAAAAATGATATACACTAACATTAGATTATGTCTCATTTTTTCTAAATATTATTTCAATATGAAGTAGAGACAAAATTTTATTTTTTTAAGTATTATTTCGATATGAAGTAGAGATGAAATTTTTTCTTTCTGCAGATTCATGTATGCTATGAAATTTGTTCTTGGAAAACAAAGCTAATGTGAGATAATATAATCCAATGGAGAAGCTCAGTTTTAACTTTCACAATTTTGGAGATAAAACGGTTCCTCCGGCTATGGAGACGACAAAGACGTATTATCGCAAAGGAGCTGGAGAAAAAGCCCCAAGAGGAGGACCTAAAACCACTGCCCGGAAATACTCCCCAAAGAAGCAGATCTTTCTGGAGCTCAGGCATCAAAGAAGCTTAGTGTCCTCCCAAGCAAAGTTTCCCCAAAGAAAAGAAGTAACCTGCACGCTCGCTCGTCAGGTACAAAAGTTAAACAAGTCCCTCGCATGGAGGTGTTCCTATCTGCTTTGTCTAAGAGTATTTCTGCTCTATCAGGTTTGGTGGTGTCCCAGAAACCACCTAGTAAGAAGATATGTATACAATTTCTTGGAATTGTCAAGGTGCAGGAGTGTATCTGACCAAACAACATCTTAAAGAGCTGCACTGCTATACCCGTCTGTGTTTTCTTTTTCTTTCTGAAACAAAAAAAAAAATCTCTTTTCCTGTTATGCAAGATTTTCAGACTTCTTTTGGTTATGATAATTTATTTACCGTGGAGCCAGCTGAGCGAAGCGGAGGTTTAGCTTTGTATTATATGTATTGTTATTTTGTTCGTGTTTTATTTTCCAACGATATGTTGATTGATATCAAGGCTACAATAGAAGGTCACAAAGTCTTTATGACATTTATGTACGATGATCCAGTCATTGAGTGCCGTGGAGCTGTATGGGAGAAGCTGGCATCTCTCAGCCTTCAACGTTCTGGAGCATGGTTCATGAGTGGTGACTTTAACGAGATTATAGGTAACCATGAAAAGGGAGGAGGCAGGAGACGAGCTGAATCCACTTTCTTAGCCTTCAAACACATACTAGACCCTTGCAGAATGATTGAGTTTCCGTACAAGAGGAACTCTCTTTCGTGGCTTGGATACAGACGTTCTGGACGTGTCCAATGCCGTTTGGATAGAGCGGTAGGAAATGAAGATTGGCACACTCTTTTTTCCATACAAATGTGGAGTATTGAAAGTTATGGGGATCTGACCATCGACCAGTGCTCGCACGAATACAATCTCGGGAAAGTCGCATCCAATGGAACTTCAGGTTTGATAAGAGATGGCTTGACAAGGAGGGTTTCCACGAGATGGTTGAAGAGAGTGGGGATTCCTCGACCCCTGCGGGTTCAAATGACCTTTTTGCCAAAATTGGTGTATGCAGAAAAGCTATTTCACGATGGAGGAAATGTAATCCAATGATAGGGTCAGATTTTACCCAAATAAAACTACTGCAAGTGCACAGCAAAAGCAGTTGTAGTACAAGGGGTTATCGAATCCCAAGGGAGTATGTAAACCACACTAGCGATTATAGATTCAGATTAAGCTAAGCGATAAATAATGAATGTAATGCAAAACAGTAAAATAAATGCAAGAGGGCGTTTTTATGCTTGTTCTTAAAGTTCAGAAGGCTAAAGGCGCTAAGTCAGGACAGTTCGCATGTTGAATCCGAGAGTGTAGAATGCATGCAATCAGGAACGAGTTAAAACCGTCTTGAACATGAATCACAAAGATATAACTAATCAATTCTCATTGCAGAAGTTATCTATGTCTAAATCACAGAGTTTCAAATCTCTTTGCAAACCCTAACAACCTAAACATGCAGTAAAGATCAGGTTCAATTGTTCACAAAACTTCTAAGCCAAATCTCTTTGTACTAGGGCGTTTTGCTCATCTAATACTAGTTCAGGTGATTAATAATGCTCTCACATATATCAAAAAACCTAGGGTTTCGAAATCCAGATGATGTGTCTAAGAAATCGATATGAATGCAAGCACAGATGAAGAACCAATGAATTTCCTAAAAATTTTTAGCAATTCTACAAACTCTTCTTCAACCTTTGAAAAGCCCTAACTTAACTAACAAACTACTCAGACATGGTGATTTGAGAAAACATCATGAAAAGAATAGATTGCATAAAAGAAATAAGAAGTAGAAATAAAGGAGTTCGAAATCTGCTCTGAAGGAGTCTGATTTGTCTCTCCAAAAGCTCTGCTACAAATCTCTCTCTAAAGCTCTCAAAAATAATAAGATCCAAGATAGATGCCAAAAGAATGGCTGAAAAACCTAATATACAAGCTAAAACACGATCTGGGGCCTTTTTACAAAAACTGGAACTTCTGGGCCAAAACTACAATTTCTTCCCAATCTTTTTAAAACAGGCCACGACCCCTTCCTTTCTGGGTGACGAGCGTCACCAAAAGTGGTGACGAGCGTCACCATATGCGATACTTTTCTGCTTCGAGCTTGGTACTTCGTGGCTTCCATTCAGAATGCTCCAAAAGGTTCCAAAATCTCCAATTATGCTCCAGACATGCTATAACCTGCAAAGACTCTTCTATGACTCTAAAAAGACCAAAAAGACTCAATAAAAAGGACTTATATCATGGTTAAAAACCATGATATATCATCCAACAAACTCAGCAAAGAAGATAGAGATGATAAAAGAGCAATTAGAGAAAGCACAACTGGATGATAATATCTCGTCCGAAGATGTCTTAAACCTTAAATGGTTACTCTGTTCTGCTTACCGAGATGAGGAGTTATATTGGAAGCAAAAAAACCGGGCCAGTTGGCTGAAGGTGACCGCAATACAAAGTTCTTCCATGCAAGCACAAAACAAAGAAGAGCCAGAAACCGGATTACAAAGATCAAGTCGGCGTCGGGAATATGGGTATTGAAAAGTCGCCACGAAGTATGATCAAAACATCTTTACCTCTTCTAATCCAGCCGATTATGATGATTCGCTTCGATATGTTACAACAAAAGTTACTGCTGGAATGAACATTGTATTAGCCCGTACTCCCTCCGACAGCAAGATTAAACATGCGGTGTTTGATATCCATCCTGAGAAAGCATCGGGGCCAGACGGTATGACTGATCTCTTCTACCAATGATGCTGGAAAACTTTGGAGAAAGACATCATTCATACCGTTAGAACTTTCTTCGAAGAAGGTCGTTTTGACACCAGATTAAATCATACAAACATCTGTTTAATACCGAAGAATGAAAGACCCTGGGAGATGACGGAGTTCCGTCTAATAAGCTTGTGTAATGTCTGCTATAAAGTCATCTCCAAAGTCCTCTGCAAAAGGCTAAAGAGAGTCCTACCTTCCCTGATATCAGAGACACAATCAGCCTTTGTTACCAAGAGGCTTATTTCCGATAATATCTTAATAGCCCAGGAAGCCTTCCATGCCTAACGGGGGAACCCAATTTGCAATTCAAAGTTCGTCGCAATAAAGACTGACATGAGTAAGGCCTATGATCGGGTGGAATGGGGTTTTCTTCAAGCACTTATGATCAAACTGGGTTTCGATACCATATGGGTTAACTGGATAATGACTTGTGTGTCTTCAGTCTCATATCAAGTCTTAATCAATGGATCTCCCAAAGTGAAAA